ATACTGCTAGCTCTGTGAGAGCAGGACTCAGTTCATGCAGTATCTGCTACAGGACAGCCCCATTTGAGGGTCTGATGTAAGTGATTCCAACTACAAACCAAAAGAGGCTATGAGCAAAGAAGTAATATTTAATAACAAGAACCATAATGAAGCAATAATGAGAAGTAACATGAGCAAATAGCTCTCTCAAAATAATTAAGGCAAAGGAAATTTTATTCAGCTCAGGGAGAGGTCATAAAAATAAGTATATATATTTTGGACTTCTTTTTAGATATTTCCAGAAGATATTTGCTAAAAGATTTGAAAAAGCTGAGGCTAAAGAGAGATGATATTTGACAATAAAATCTGTGTCCCAACGTATTTTTATTTGCTGCCATTTGGCAGAAAATAGAGCATCTCTGGGGAGGGTAAAAGGAGCTGATACAGCCACACTGAATCTACTTGATCTCTGCGTCTGTAACTGAATATATGGCTGGATATTATAAAAAACCAGATCCAGAAGGCTAGAGGAAGGAAAAGGAGAAGTACAAGGTCAATGCTAGTATCTGGTTTTTTTGCCCCATGCCTGAAGGAGGAAGTAGGGTTAGCGAGCAGCTAACTCTCTACTAGGCTGCAGAAGGGTGATGTTAGAAGACACGGATTTGGGCTCTATCCTTAGTTTTGGCGGAGAAGTACTTCTTTTGTAGTTTTCTAGTTGATCAGTGTGCTAAGTTCATCTTTGGTTCTAACATCTGGTCTGACTCCCAATCCTGATTTCTGTTCTGATGAGCGATGGAATCAGGATCTGGGCACACTTACAAGCGCCCTACCACTGAGTGACACCTGTACTCTAATTTTTTGTTTTGTTTTGTTTATCAAGATAGGGTTTCACTACATAACCCTGGCTGTCCTGGAACTCACTCTGTAGACCAAGTTGGCCTCAAACTCACAGAGATCTACCTGCCTCTGCCTCCTGAGGGCTGGGATTAAATGTACCACCTCCCAGATGAAGTTAATCTTTTTAATTTATGTGTACAAGTGTTTTGCTCACATGTATGTCTGTGTACCATCTACATGCCTGATACCTGTAGAGGCCAGAAGTAGACGTCAGAGTTAGACAGTTATGAGCCACCATGCATGTACTGGAAAATCAAAAGTGGGTCCTCTGGAAGGGCAGCCAGTGTCCCTAACTACTGAGCAATCTGTCCAGCACCATGAGGTGGCCCTTAATGGGCTCCTGGTGGGTCTGGACATCAGCAGAACAAAGCAGTGTTTAAAAGTGTTAAACCTACACCCCATCTCCCATGATCCAGGAAGGACAAAAGGCTAGAGACTGAGTGTATGTAATGAAGCCCCTATAAAAATCCCATGAGCTGGTGTGCTCATCATCCACGCTGTAGCCCCAGCACTTGTAAGCCTGGGGTGGGACTCTCATAGAAGCACACAAAATCCATCCCGGAAAGATGTGATTGGGAGTTTCTAAGCTGCTGACCGTGTGAGAGCGCCTGGAGGGGGGACACCAGAGATGCTCTTCTGGAGTTTCCCGGATGATCCTGTCTTTCCCACAGTGCTGTGTAGGTATGGAATTGCTCTAACAAATTAATCAAACCAAAAAGTGGAAGTATTAAGAACTTTAATGTGTGGCTGGCCAGACATAAGTACAGGTCATAACCTAGGGCCTGCAAGTGATACCTGAAGGGAAGGGTAAGTGATGTGTGACGTGTGGAGCTAGACGTTGTCTTCTTGTAAATGGGTACCAGGCTGGAATCAATTGAGTATGCTGTCCATGCAAGAACTGCAGGTTGTTTAGGAAACCCTCTCATTTATCTGGGGTTAGCTGGTGCTGTAATGACTCTATGTAAGATAAAAAACTTTTGGTCTCTTGCATGCACTATGCTAAGCACACTGGAATGCAACTGTAGCAGACTGGAATAAATTTAGAATGCTATCTGTCTAAGAACTGCAGGTTGTTTAGGAAACCCTCCAATTTATCTGGGGTTAGATGGTGTTGCACTGACTCTATGGAAGATGAAAAACTGTTGGTCTCTTGCATGCACTATGCTAAGCACACTTGAATGCAATGGTATTAGCTGTCAAAAGCACTGGGCCAAAAAAATGGGTCTTCTAAGACCCATATATGGCTGAATTCTGGAACTGGCCTGTAGGACACTACTCACATTGCTCTGTGGCTACTGCTCACTTGTTACTAATGTCTAATGAATGTCAGACTGAAGAATAGAGCACAATGCTCCTGTAGGGCCAGATCCCATAGGCTATTCCACCTTGAGTCTGAATAAGACAAAACGGCTACAACGAGAATCAACATGTTCGCAATTACTGATGCAATTGCTATCCACCATGCAGGAAGGACTCTGGATCTAAGTATACCCAATACATAGAGTGATCTGATACATGTGACTTCCCTATAGACTAGAATAACATAAATCAGGAATCCAGTGGATCTAAACAAATGTAGTACAATGATTGTCTTCTTGAAAACTGTGTCAAAATTTAAATCCTGTAGCATAGATAATAAAAATCAGAGACAGAAACTGGGGTTCAACCTGAAAACCAGAGAAGCAAAGCAGACAAGCCACTAGAGAAGTCTTACTCTAGCAAGGCTGGGTGACCACGGACTAAGTCTCTCTTTCCTCTCATGTTATATTCCCTCTAGTGCTGGGATTAAAGTTGTGACTCCTTAGTACTGGGATTAAAGGACTGAGCCACTACCAACTGGATTTGTTTCAGCACTGATCTTGTGTAGCTCAGGGTGGCCTTGAACTCAGAGATCCATCTGCCCATCTCCCAAATCCTGGGATTAAAGGTGTGTGTCATCAGTGCCTGACCTCTAAAGGCTTCGCTTTGCCCTTCTGATCTTTAGGCAAGCATTATTTATTAAGACATAAATAAAAGATCACTATAAAATCCTATTATGAAGAAGGAAAATATGGGCCCAGATGAGACTTCCAACAGGGAGTTTGGGCTCTGCTCTCAAGACTCCATTAATCCACACAGGAAAAGGTCTGCTCTAAAGTTCAGTTTGGTTCCATCTCTCAAACATTCCCCATCTTTCACTATTTGAGGCCCTGAGCCACCTCTGGATAGTCAACAAGGTCACCATGAGGTGTGGTTACTTGACCGGGGCTCGGAACCATGAGTCAATATAAACTGCCCATCTCTTGTTGGGCAGTAGTGGAAAAAGAAGAAAGCCCTCCTCATAATGTAGCCTATGGCAATGCATCTACAGCAATAACAAACACATACGGCATGGAGCAAGGCACAGGTAGGTAAAGCAAAGTAGTGGAGCACTTGCCCAGCACCTTCAAGGTTCTGAGTTGGATTCTCAGACCACACACACACACACACACACACACACACACACACACACGCATGCACACTCGTAGGATGGCGAAAGGGAGATGGAGAGAGAGGGAGGTCGGAGAACACAGTGACATCAGTGCTCGCAGCCTGACTCTCGATCCTGCCAAATCTAAGTTCTTTTTTCGTTAAACAATTTGATTTTATTTTTATGTGTAGGAATATTTTGTTCAAACATATGGATGTAAATTACATATGTGTCTGGTGCCTAGGGAGGCCCAAAGAGGGTGTCAGATCTGGAACTGAAGTTATAGATGGCTGTGAGTCACCATGTGGGTGCTAGGAACAGAACCTAGGTTCTTTTCAAGAGTAGCAAATGCACTTAACTTCTGAGTCATCACTCCAGCCCCTAAGCTTGAGTTCTTAGCCACTTTTAGACACTTATGTCTACAATATAAAGCATTCACAGCCCAGTTTTGCTATGTATACAGTGAGAGCGGTAGTTTCCACCCAAGGTTCTTAAGCAAATCAGCGACAGCTACGTGCGGTGCATAGACTTGGGGGAAGCAGTAACTGGCTGGGCTCGTCCCCGTCTCCCCCATTGCTTTCCTTCACCACTTCAGTCTCATCCCCGGGGTTTCCAAACAGGAGCTAAAGGAAATGATCTTGAAGCATGGTTAATATATCTTGTCAAATTTTACCTTTATTTAACAATTATACTAGTGGATACTAACCCTAATAAGTTACAAAACAAGAAGGGCACACTCCCAGGTCTGGCTCCTCGCCAGGAAAGGGTGTTAGGTGGAGGGAAGAGAGATGCTGGTCTCCTTGCACTGGCTGCAGATGTAGAAAGAAGGCATATTCTAAATCTGAAGGGGAAACCATCCACACACGCTCAGAGGTTGCTACTTCACACAGACACTGTGATGCACAGTGCCCTGTGACTGGCCTCTCCTAAAAGCCACATGCTGGAACCTGTTTCCCAAGAGGCCTTAGCAGTAGGTCAACACAATCAAGAAGTCAGAAGGAGAAAAAAGGTGAATGTGTCTGGTACCAAGAATGCATTATCTGTCACTTACTATACTTTACAATTTAATACAAAGGCCTTCTTTGTATTTGTTTCTTTTCATCTCTTTCCTCTAAATTGGAAGCTATTTGAATGAAGGAACTGTAAGCGTTCTTTCCTTCTGACCTTATGGAGACTTGAAAAACAGCTGAATGAATGAAGAAAATAAATATTAAACTACAATAAACTCAAAACAAATGCACTGAATTTAAGGTTAGGAAAACAGAACAGCCTTTTCAGATGACTAATGAGATTTTTCAAATAGTAATTACCTGAGGATCGATCTACTCCCTGCTTTCTATCTCTAAGAAAGCGATGTGACCATAATAAGTTAAGGATGTGACAGACATTAGCTATTTCAAATAAAAATTCAACAAACTTTGTATCACGGTTTATTTTGTTTTCTGTTGACACAGTCCCACACAGCCAAGGATGGTCCAAATTCACCATGTAGTAGAAGGTGGTTTTGAACTCTTGTTCCTCTTGCCTCTACCTTCCAAGCCCTGGGATAATAGGCAGTGAGTCGATAGACTCTGTTGGCTCTAACTTACTCATAACAGAATCCAAGTTGGCTTCCTATGTGTGACCCTCAGTACCTAGTTTGTGCACTAAAGGACAAGCTGAGAACGGCTCTCACCTCCAGCAGCTCGTCTCCAATCCGCATCCGTCCATCTGCAGCAGCAGGCCCCTCTGGTTTGATCCCCACCACGAATATGCTCATCCGTGACCTGTCCTTATTGCCAGCAAGACTGAGTCCCAGGCCATTCTTGTCCTTTTCCAGCTCGATAATGTGCAGTTCTCCAGGCAGGTCTGCGTACCTTTGCCGGATCTTTTCTATATTAGAAATGAAAAAAAAAATAGAGTATGAGTCTATATTATTGAGATGTCAACATTCTCCCATTTTAGTGTGGTTCATCTACAGGGCTCTCTAAGAATAAATCACATAAGATTTTCATGACCTTGAGGGCAAGCTATAGTTAGCAATTACTTTTCTCTCCACATAAGTTTAGACTGCCCACCAAACTTCTCACTTCTGGTTCCCATTACCTTAACCTTCCATGAACTGTTTCTTTCCTTCAGAGAGTTATCAAAATATACATAAATCATGGCCCCCAGCCTCCACCTTGCCACAAAAGTTTAGAAAATTTACTAACAGTGAGGTATGAACGAAGTATTTGGTTTTAGAGATAAATTATTGAACCAAACAGTTACTGTTTCTACTCTCATAGACTTAAGATTTGGTCAGAAAGAAAACCAACAATTTATTATACTTAAAATATATTTTAAAATATTTATGTTTGTCACACTAGGGATTGAACCTCAGGTCATGTGTGTGATTGGCAAGAGGTTTCCCAGTTGCCCATAGCCCCTACCCTAAAATATACTCTTGAAAATATATAAACAGCGTAAAGTAAAATTGCATCAAGTAAAAGGAAGGGTAACCAAGGCTATCTGCTTATCAGTTGGATCTAAAAGCGATCCACAAACAGCCACACACTCATCCATCAGTGCATCGTCTTATCGCTACAGAATTCTACTTCTCCTTCACTATGATGAAGGTCCTAATAAGCCATGGTTTGTACATGTTCAATAGTTCTAGCTTTCCATCTTCTCTCTCACCATGCATGCTGACTGGTTTGTCGCCAACATGACACAAGATAGCGTGAACTGGGAAGAGGAAACCTTGACTGAGAGAATGGGCCCATCAGATTGGCCTACAGGTGCATTATCTCGATTGATGATTGATAAAGGAAGGTCAGCCCAGGTGTGCAGTGATCCACGGTTATATAAGAAAGCAAGCCACTTAAGCCTTGAAGAGCAAGCAAGCGAGTAATTAGTGTTTCTCCACAATCTAATTCAGTTCCTGCCCCTACTTTCCTTCATCATGAACTGTCAGCTATAAGCAGAAATAAGCCCTCTCCTCTCCACTCTGTTTTTGGTCAGTTTTTATCACAGCAACAGAAAGCAAGTTAGGAGGCCCTGTCACCTCTACACTATGGTCTAAACTACCCAGCTCGGTTCTGGCTGGGACACTTCTCACTTGTGTTGGTTCCATACAACAAAACCACACCAGTGCATCAATAAGAGAGACAATACTGCTCAAAGTTGCTCTTGCATCCCACACAGTGCCAGTTCAGGAGTAAATCACAGAAGGGAAGAGGGAAAATAAATGAAGGCGGGGTTGTTTAGATGAGAATGGCTACAGACTACTGGGACACGAATTCCATGCTAGCAGATGCAGACATGCATATGACGACGCTGCATGTGACAGAGAATGCTTTTAGCTCCAACATGCAGGAAACTGAGGCAGGGGGATCTTCAGTTCAATGCCAGCTTAGGCATATGTATATCATATGCCTTGATATGTATATCAAGACCTTGTCTCAAGCAAAACAAAACAAAAATCCAGAGAAGGCAAACAACAGAGATGTATAGTGCGAGCGTGCGTGTGTGTGTGTGTGTGTGTGTGTGTGTGTGTTTTAGGGCTGAAGCAATAGCTTACTGAACCCAGGATCACCGACTGATGAGGCTCGGTGGCCAATGCGCTCCAGGGCTCATCTCATCTCTGCCCCAGTGCTGGGCTTTCAGACCTGCTTCTGGGCTGGAGACCCCAACGCAGGTCCCTCAGGGAGCACTTTACCTACTAAGCAACCTCCCGCCCACTGGTCTTGATGTCTCATCAGTTTTTGAGGCTGGTATAATTTTATTTTTCTGCTGCTGTCCTTCATTGAGAGAGGGTTTTACATAGCCCGTCCTGGCTTCACACTCAGTATGTGGCTGAGGATGACCTTGCACTTCTGGCCACTCCATCTGACCGTCTCTCAAATGACAGGAGCAACGGGTATGACACTCTTGCCTGGCGTGCTCTGACTTCTCCCTCCTCGAACAGACAGAGGATTCAGCAAGGAAAAAAAAAAACAAATTGCTCTCTTATGAAACTTGTTATATAATCGCCAATTTGTGGTCTAGATCTGAAATGTACTCACCGCTTCTGCACTGCATAAAGACTTGGTTCTGTAATGGGGCTGGGCCAGAGCATGGGGACTGAGCAGATCATAATGGTTCTGACTAATCAGTGAAATAATCCACTATGTATTCGTAGCTTAAGGGACTTGGGGAAGTGGGTATTGTTGTAAAAGCAAACTTGTTTCCTGGACACCATGAAACACTTTAACATGATTCAAACTAAGAACATATTCGGGAGACAGACGAATCCCAGGAATGTAAACACTTAAAAGTCAGGAAATCTTTCATGGGTAATCACCATGGCAGGAACCTAAAGGACAAAGTTCAAAGATGATGTTCATAGATAGAGATAGTTATGCATTTTTAAGATTAAAAATAAAGAGGCGGTGGTGGCACACACCTTTACTTCCAGAACTTGGGAGACAGAGGTAGGTGATCTCCAGGTTGGAAGCCAATCAGGTCTACATAGTGAGTTCCAGAACAGCCAGGGCTACACAGAGAAACACTGTCTCAAAAAACCAATAAACAAACAAACAGCTGGGAAAACAGAATACTTTCTGATGTTATATTCACAAGTAGAAAAGCAAAAACAAAGAGATTTTCTAATCCATCAAAGAATAAACAGAAATTTTACATTAAAAAAAAGGCAGAAAAAAAAAAGGCATCTAGCTCTAACACATAAGCTCAAGAGGCTCAGGTATGCGAGGACATGCTCAAATTTACTAGAAAGTTTAGAATTGCAAATTAAGTGGGATATCCAGGGCAGGGTTTGTAGACCAGGAATGGAACCTTTTATGCATGAGAACCCAAGTCCCATCCCCACCTCCATTCACCCAAACAAATGATTATCAGAATAATAAATGAGACAGTAAGTCAATGAGACATTAAGTCAATCAAAATAAAGCACATTAACAGACTGCCAAGAATAAAAAGCTTATCCCCAGCCTTTGCAGAACTAAGGACATATACTAGGGCTCAATGTGCTGATAGTCACTGCCACTCTGAACAGCTATCAGGCTTTAAAAGCTTTAAACCAGCAGTTCCAATCTTGCTACATGCAGCTTCCCAATGTGACATTAAGACATAGGTGTTGTCTTACTTAGGGTTATTGTTGCTTTGATAAAAAAAAATACCACAAACAAAGCAACTTGAGAAACAAAGAGTTTATTTCATCACAGTTCCATATAACAGTTCATTATTCAAAGCAGGGAGGGCAGGAACTGAATCAGGGTAGGGACCTGGAGGCAGGAGCTGATACAGGTCACGGAGGTGTGCTGCTTACCAGCTAGTCAGTCTGCTTTCTTACAGAACCCAGGACCACCAGCCCAAAGATGGCATCACCCACAATAGGCAGGGCCCTCAATCACAAACTAAGAAAATGCCCAACAGGCTGGCCTTCTGGAGGCATTTTCTCAGTTGAGGTCTCTCCTTTCAGATGACTTTAGCTTGTGCCAATCTGATGTACCCGTCAGCACAGGTGTTAAGAGGACATGGAGGAGGTTGACTCCAGTGCTATTGAAGACAGCAGTGATGAGAGGCGAGGCCTCAGTGCTGAGTGACAGAAGAGGAACAGAACGGAATCCACACCATTCCTCTATCATTTACTCAGGTTACCAGGCAACACATAAAGACCACAGTACAAATTTATAAGTGAACACTTAGAACATTAGAATGATTCCTGGCTCAGGGCAGAAAGGGAGAGGAGTAAAAGGGACTGAAGAAAAGCAGAGGCCTAAAGCAGTGAAGGCTGAGAATGGGATGGTTGTAGAAAGACTTTCAATAACAAAGAAAATTCCAGGTTCACAAAGCCCCTGGTCAATCCATAGAGAGAAAGCAAACTCTACTGATGCCATTAACCACGCATTCCATTGCTTGGATGTGTAAATCAGTAAGAAGAAGGAGAACTCGTCTGTAGTAAACCTCTATCGTATCCAATGAGCAGAATTGTGCTAGGCCCAGGGAATCTGTAATATTCAAATGGACTCCTAGGAGGTTGGGGTGGAGTAGATAAAGGGTCAAGTCTGAATGCCGGCTGAGTCACTTAATGTCTTTAATTTGTGGATCTGCTACATGCACAACCTATTTATAAAAATAAGACTTCCTTAAAAGCAGATGCTCCCTGAAATGCAAGTGTTCAAATAATGCAGAGGAAAGAGAAATCATGATTTGCTTCCATTGCTTAGCTAATGATGTTTGAAATCAATCTTGAATGATGACAAAACTATTATTTTCTTAATTTTGTATGAAGAAAACTGCCTTTAGAAAGGAAGTGAAGTTTCTCTCATGATGATATTAAAAACAAACAAACAAACAAAAAGCCACAAAGCCCCTACTGGGAATCCCATGGAAGGGACCAACACCACCTCTACCCCTCCAGGCTACTTCTCTGAATTGTTCTCTGTGAGGATTACCAGGTGAGCTTCTCAAGACATGCCGAGGCCCATTGCAGGACCAGTGCTGCCTGTGGATGTAAACCACACCGGGACGGCTTGAGAGCTGATGGAAGTAGTTTCAGTTAGGAATGATGAAAAGGCTCTGAGGATACGTGGGGACGGCTGTACCATAGCAGTGAACTTAACAACAGGATATCCAAACATTGCAAAATGGTAAATTTGTCATGTTCTTTAAACATACACACACAAAGCCCTATCATGAATCTAATAGACTTCAGAAACTCCGTTTTCAGTCACCCATATAGGGCCCAAGAAGTAGATGTATTTATCCTCACTTCATGAGACTAGAAGGTTAATTTTCCTAGCCTGAATTTTTAATGCGACAATTACATACCAACTGAGTCAATGAGCAAATATTAATGGAATCCACTTGACATTAAAGTTGTAAAACAGAAGGAATCCATTTGGTGAAAT